CTTGAACTGCCAACCTTGCAGTTCAAAGGGCTTTGCAGTCTGGCGCATTAACCCACAATGCCACACCAGGGGTCCAAATGTAGGATAGTTTTAACTAAAAGAGGGAAGCAGTTAATCTGTCATTTCATGAATGGAAGACCCTAGGACCATCAAAGGAGCTCTGGTAGCGTAGTGGTTATGAATCGGGCTGTGAACCACAGGGTCAGCAGTTCAAAACTACCAGCTGTTCCGCAGGAGAAAGATGAGGCTTTCTGCTCCCGTAAAGATTTACAGACTTGGAAACCCTGTTCAGGGTCGCTATGAGTCGGAACCGACTCCACGGCACATAACAACAACAACAAGGACCATCAAGAGGGAAGAAAGAGCATGAGAGGAGCAAGGGATCCTAACCAGAAAAGTGGTGACGGTGGCTGAGGCTATGGTATGGAAAGACAGAGAAGTAGAGGACTAGAGACCCACGGGCTGAGAAAGGTAATGTGCCTGCAGGCAGGAGGCTGGCTTACAAAACATGCCCTTTGGACATTTAAACGAATATATATTTTCAATGTGGTATGTATGTGTACATCAAAAAAAAAAAAGTAATAGAGGTCAATACTGTTGAGTGGAGGCGATTGTAAGCATCGCAGTGATTTGTTGAAAGTAAAACTGATGAGCTGTCTGTCACTCACTCAATTCACAATAAAAGATTAAAAAACAACAAAAAAAACAAAACAAAACCCTGTATCTAGATCAACAGGCAGTCATTAGAAAAGAACAAAGGGATACTGAATGGTTTAAAATCAGAAAAGGTGTGTGTCAAGGTTGTATCTTTTCACCAAACTTATTCAATCTATTTGCGGAGCAAATAATCCAACAAGCTAGACGCTCTGAAGAACATGGCATTAGAATTAGAAGAAGTCTCCTTTAACAACCTGTGATGTGCAGATGACACAACCTTGCCTGTTGGTAGAAAAGAAGGCTTGAAGCAGTTACTGAGGAAAATCAAATACTTCCATGTGAAGAAAAAAAAGATCCTCACAACTGGACCAATAAATATCATCATGATAAATGGAGAAAAGATCAAACCTGTCAAGGATTCACAATCAACTCCCAAGGAAGCAGTAGTCAAGAATGGATTATATTGGGCAAATCTGCTACACAAGATTTCTCTAAAGTGTTAAAAAGCAAAGCTGTCAAGTGTGAGATCAAGTGCCTGACCAGAAGCCGCAGTATTTTTAGTCACTTCTTATGCATGTCAGGGAGTCCTGGTGTGGCGCTGTGGGTTCATGCGCCAGACTGCAAAGCCGTTTGAACTGCAAGGTCAGCGGTTCAAGCTCACCAGTTGCTCCTCGGAAACCCTACTCAGGGTCGCTATGGGTCGGAATCAACTCAACCGGCACTTCACAACAACAACATACATGTGAGAACTGGACAATAAAAAGTAAAGAAGACCGAAAAAGAACTGATACATTTGAATTAGGGTACAGGCTAAGAATATTGACTGGGCCATGAACTATCAGAAGGAATAACAAATCTTGAAAGAAGTAGAATTAGAATGGGCCTTGGAAGTTAGGGTGGCGAGACTTTGTCTCACATACTTTGAGCATGTTATCACGAGGAACCAGCCCCTGGAGAAAGACATCATGCTTGTTAAGAG